AGTCTCATACTGCTGATTGCCAAAGCTGTCTAAGTGATGAGTTTCATTGTAGAGGCTATCTTGAGGGTGGGAAGGTTCTGGTGTGAAGGGTACCATCTCTACTTTATGTGTGTGCTCTTTTAAGAAGCAGCAGCTGTAGTAGATGACAGGTTAATGCTATCGGGGTTGGAATTGTGGTTAAGGATTACTATTTTTGTTTGGTTTGTGAGGAAAACAGAGGTGGAGAGAGGCTGCTTTTCCCTGTTATTTTATTGGGAATATACCAGAGGAGTGGAAGCCTTTGGAAATACAGGATTTTTTAGACAAACTGTGCTTGCCCAAGTAAAATGCTTGCAAGAGCCTAGACCCTGGTGACTGGTTGATCTTTGGTTGCTGTTGGGAGACAGGTCCAGATGGCTGACAAATGGGTTCGTGTTTGGCAGTCTTTGATAGGGTATTTTGAGACAGTTTCCATGCTGTGGGTGCTGCCACATCCAGTTCCGGGGGTGACGGGGTGAGTTTGTCCTGAGACCTCCCAGCACTTCCTCACACCCTGCTGAGACCAGGCTTAATGGCTTTGGAAATTCACCTTACACTTACAGACATTACTCTGGTCAGAATGGGACTTGACTGCAATGTGTAAGCAAAAGCAGTGGGGCCGCTGGATAAAGAGAAATCTTCTGTCTCTTGGGTGTGATTCTGAACATCTCATAAACATTACACAGGTATCGTGGCACGGATATTTATAATCATAAAAAGAAACAAGTATGCCCGAATATACTGGGGACATGAATCACGCCTAATGCTGGAGGTCAAAACCTTAAATAAGTACTCTGAGTCCAAGTGCTAATTATCTGCTAATGGGGTATTTGTTCTCCTTCAGTTATGTAAAAGTACACAGCATTCAGCTTAAAGAGTGCGCTTAAAGGGCTTTGTACATGTGGAGAATGAGCAGCCCTGGAGGCTGCTGCCATAGTTTGTCCTGGAGCTCCTGGATCCCCGTGCTAAGCTGATGGTGCTGCCGTGGCGCGGTGCCTCTTCTCCCTCCTCTCCACGCTTCGCCCACTGCCCTGGCCATTTCAGCTGAATTTCTGTCTTCATATCTCAACGTTACCCTCGTCAGCAATGCCGGCAGAGATGTATCTACAATTATAAATCCCATATCGTGATTTTTTGCCACGGCTGCTGGTCAGGCAGCAGTGAAGATGTTTGTTGAATACAAAGGGAGCTTCCACCCAAGTAACAAAGCCCCATCAAGTGAATGAGCTCTTTGATCACAACCCTGGTAAGAAGGGGTCTCGGTGGGCACAGTGAACTGCTCTCATGGGAAAAGAGATGCAGTGACCCATTCTCATCGCGGAAAGGCCTTGTTGGAGATTGCAGAGCTGAGCTGACATCAAGGCGAGAGCAAGGGCCGTGGGTTTGTGCTGGTGCCGGCAGCTGGAGGGAGACCCTGATGCACCTTCACTGAGCACCTCACATACACCAAGGCCTCACCCTCTTTTAACTAATTCTAGTTGAGAAAGTAGGGTTTTTATTCTTTACGTCCTCTGAGAAGCAGTATAGACACATGTCCAACAGGGACAAAAAGAACCCAGAATAAGTCAATCACAGAGACATACTTTGAGCTGTCATGAAAATACAAAAGCGTTGATACTTTCTATATGAAACATTGTAAGTTATGAAGTAACATTATAATGCTATAAACCATCTTCATGGGAATATTGAAAAGGCGGATGCAAAGCATAAAGAATTCTTTGTGCTAAAGGTGGTTTTGTCACAAAGTGCAGACCTTCTGCCTGACTCCCACACCATTTCCTGAGGTATCTAATTGGAATAGAGGCCAAAATGAATACTGTTCTCTGTGAACTATAGAAAAAATACCTGCTTGTATTTGTAGGTTCTTGCATGGCATGTGTCTTTGGCCCTGTTATCAGTAATGATTGTTTTCCTGTAACTGTGCAGGGCTGTGTGTGTGTGTGATTCCTCGGCAGATGGGTATTTTGTGGTGTTTGAGCTAAATTCAGCTCCATCATATGATAGTATTTTTCAAAAAGTGTCACTAACTGCACCAGTTACTCTGCCTTGATTTCAGACTATTGTATGTCTTCTTTAACAGAAGAGAAAATGATTGATAGGAGTAAGTGCCATACGCAAGTAAAAAAGACTTTAAGATCACCGTGCTTATTAGAGATGTATGTATGCTAGTACTGGTGCCCATGGCATGCCTGCACATGAAGCAGGCTCATAGTCCTGTGCATGGTAACGTGTTTCAAAGTCAAGTTTTCCCTTCATTTTTCATTGCTCTTGGATAACATCTCAATCCCTTCCCACTATAAATTCCCAAAGTGTAAACTCGGGAGCTCTGGCTGGAACCTGCCCACAGACACACCAACTCTTCCTGTGAAGCCTTTCCTTTCTCCACACATCCTCCCACTGGAGCACCTCCAGTTTCTGCTGCTCTGTAGCCCGAATTTCAGGCTATGCCAGTCCTTTCTGTGACTGAAACGTGGGTTGCCAGTTATTTATTTATGTAAAGCGTTAGAAGGTATTAAGTCAAGAACACCATAGAAACTCGGCTGGTATTGTACTCAGGGCTTTTATTCAGGTTGTCTGATGCACTGTGGATGCCGCCTTCCTTTGTGTGCTGCAATCCCATGTTTATCCTGATGATGCCTTTGTGTTCCCTATTTGACATATTTTACTGTAAATAGAGACACTGTCTTGCAGCTGTATCCACTGTGACATTTGACTCTCTGCTGAATGAGTGCATTGTGCCATGTGTTTTGGAAACATTATCTCTTTTTAAGAAATAATCCAGGCCTTTAATAGTTTCCTGCATGTGCTTCTAGTCCTTTGCACATCCACAGAGCTCAGGTGTTTGCCCACCTCTGTAAAACCTCAGCCAAACCAGTTCTTGCTGTGCCGCAGACTGATGAAGATGGAGGTCCTGTTGGGCATCAGGTCTCAGTACAGATCAAGTCCCTTTTTGTGTGGACAGATGTGCTGTGTGGCTTTTCTGGGGCATTAGCATTTTGCCACATTTCTCTTACATATTATGTGGCATCTCTTAATTAGGTCTATGTGTATGGTAACATTCTTCAAGGTTGATGTTGTTACTGGCTGCTCCGTAACGAAAGTGGTCTTCCCTGTGCTGCCTGGGCATTTGGTGTCCACCAGATCAGTCCTTTAATTTGTTGAAGATACTCCTCTTTTTGACTTCAGAAAGCTGAAATCCTTTTCAGGAAACCCTGGATTTCTTGAAGCGGACTTGGTCCATTGGGTGCCTAACTCCCTTAGTCCTCGTTTAATATCCCAGCTTTCATGAAGGTTTTATTTTGCCTTTACACAACTGTGCTATTTTTATGTAACTTGTGACTTCAAACTGATTCTGAAATGCTTTCCGAATAATTATGTCTATATATAGAAATGCATAGGGTTTTGCTCTCAGCATTGAATGCCAATAAATCCATATGTTACAGAGGGGCTGGTAGTCCAGCCTGCATTTCCCAGAGTAAGGCTGAACCACTAGTTTCCTGTAATGCTGCCAGGGTGGAACTACCTGAGATAATATTGTCTGTGCCTGCTCTATGCCTTAAACACAATTGTTCTGGGAAAACTCAAGCCAAAGTGCTAATACTCTGGGCATTCTTTGTCTGGTGTGGATGGAGTAATATCCTGAGAGAGCAGGATGGTGTAGCCACTTTCCAGAGAGAAAAGAGCTCGTTGTTGCTATTGCTATGGGTAGGATCTTCCCAAAAATGTCATCAGACTTTAAAAGTTATGTTCACTGTGTATGCACATGGCAGAAGAGAGCAAAGTAAAATGAAATCATCATTTTAAGTCAGTTGGCATGAAAAGTGATTGTGTATATTGGTTTTCCCCTGTGTGAAAGGGGAATGTACTTACACAAGCGCTGGCCATCTCTGAGGAGCATAGCAGTGAGCAGAGGGGCAGGGCCTACCACATCACCCCATATCGGAGCTTGGAGCCTCTGTGTCAGCCTCCCAGGACTCAGATGGGGAATTTGATGGAAGAGGTGGCGAATGCTGTGAAGCTGTTGGTTGCCTCCACCAGCAAATCCCATCTTTAGACAAAGGCATGCTGAGCGCAGGGGTCTCTGCTGCATCCCACTGCTGGTTCCTTCTCACCAGCAGCTGCATTGTCTATAATCTAGGAGCTGTGTCATGTATAATATAGAACAGTGGCATCCCCAAGAGGGTTCCAAGCAGAGAATCCAGCATACAAATCGCCCCAGCAACCTGATGAGACGCGGATGTTGTCCGGAACTGCAGGATGGCTCTTGGTTTTCTCCTGGAGAGACCCACTGTGCACTCTGGCACTCTTGGCTTTGTGCTCTTTCTTAAAATTCCCCACAATAGAAAGGAAAGGCATCTGTGAGGAAACAAGACTGGTAATAGATTCCAAATGTATTTTCAAAATGTATTTTTATTGCAATCTTAAATTACCATAATTAAATTATTAAATGTATTTTTATTAAATTTGCACACAGGCTGGTGTCATTTGCCTTAAATATTTTAATGAAGCCTGTGAAGTCTTCCCTTGTTATTAGAGCTCTCAGAATGTATCTATTTTAATGACAATGTGAGTTTTAAGTTCTGGTATTGGGAAGAGTGCCCCAGTGGATGAACTCTGCCTTTCTTGGGGGGGCTTAGCAGGGTTGCGGGGCTCCCTTTGCTCAAGAGCGACGGCAGGACCAGGGGCTGGGGGAACCACATGAACTCCCTGTACATATATCTGGAGGAGAGACACAAGTGATGTGTTGTGACAACAGAGCAGCAGAGCATTTAGGCACACATTTTAAAACTCTGTGGAACAGAGACGTACTTACAGAGCAGGGCCTGGAGGAAATCCATGTATCACTCGGTTTGAAGATAATAGAGACAGATGAATTAATGATTATATATGTGTGTGCTACACTTAAGGACAGATTTATGTATGCGTTTCATTTTTTTTTAGTGTCATCTGCCTTCCTGCTTTTTTTCTAGCTACAACCTGGGTATTTTTCATCCGATGCAAGCATGGAAGGCAGTGGTTTCAAGGGTGCTGCTGTTTTGACAACAGCTCTGAGAATGAACTTGAACTATTTTCATGGGAGTGGTTCAGGATCAGACCAGGGCTCCTCAACTCGCCAGCAGCTGCTCCAAACCAGGCAGGGGCTTGTGAATAGACCTTCTTAGTGGTCCTCTGGAAAGAAGAGAAAATATAATAAATAAATAAATAAATTTATAGTTTTCTGAATGAACTGAAAAAAAAAGAAAAGTTGTAGAAATGGATCATTTTAATTGTAGCCTTAAAATAGCATAGGAGTGTGGGCAGAGGGCTGGATGGCAAAGGGGTTTCGGGTGACAACAGGACTTGGGAATTACTTGCCTAGTGGAATGTATAAAGCTAAGGCTGAAATCCCCTCTTTGCCTGATTGCACAGGGATTTGAATTTGGGTCTCTGAACTCCTCTGAGAGTGCCCAACCGCTGGCACATTCTGGGATGAGAATCTGTCCTGCTGAAGCTGTTCTGCTTTGTAAGAATAATTAAATATTCATTGGGCCAGTGAGAGAACAGAAACAATTTGATAGCCTGGGGATTAAGCCTCTCCAATAAGATGAGGATACAGAAGTAATTCAGTTCCTGATCCAGCTCTGATGCTGAACGGATATGAATCTAGGGTGATGCTGCCCAAATCAACCATGATTCTGGTTATATTTTTCAGTATATCAATACCACAACATATTTTTTTTCCCCCTTTTCAACCCTGCTTATTTCATTCTAGAAACTGGTATATCACATTGGGTTTTGAGGCCATGAATCTCTGTTGATGGGAGCTATACCTATTTTTTATTGGGATCAGAGCTGGGGCCACGGGCTCTTTAGCCATGTATCCTTGTCCCAAGTTAGCCTTTCTGAACCCCCAATTTGCTACTTAGTGCAGTGATGTAGAGGAAATATATCTTGATTACAGTGCCATTATAAGAAACATTTTTTACTGTATGTCCAGTCTGTGGCGGCAATCTGCAGTCATACAGTAGGATGGAACAATAAACCTTTATTAGAACATTAATAAAGCCAATAGTTTCTGTCAAACCTTAAGAAGCCAGAAAATCACGATTAAACATCCATTCAAAGTGATGCTGTGTTACAGTTCTATGCTCAGTTCACTTGATCAAATGACAAACTCAGATTCCTGAGTTGGTTTGGTTTCTTTTGGTGTGTGTGGGGGGAAAAAGAAAAGAGGAAGATGTTTTCAAGTGAAGATTGTTAGCAGGAAAACAGAGCCCTCACACAGCCCCCCACATCCTTGTGCCTGACTGGAGTGCAGGTGCCTGGGCAGGGTGCTACACTCTTCCTGCTGCCCATGGCCTGCTCCATGCGTGCAGCTGGGTGCTTCTGCCAGCATTGTTTCACAGGATCTTGAGGACCTCCACCCTTATTCCTTCCACTGAAGACACCTTCTATTCTGATGTCTGGATGTACAATCCTCTGGGCTCTCCCAGTGGCACGGGCCCACCCGTGCAAGGCAGAAGGTGCCTGGAGATGCGGTTCCTCACACACTGGTTGGGGTGTGGAACACGAAATGTCACAAATGCCTGTTCCTACAAAGCAACAAAGGGAACGTGAAGCGAACAAGCCTCGTCTAACTGGTAGAAGGAACTCACTGAGCTTTAATATCTTGAGCAGTTTCATTCATAACTTGGCAGTGAGTGCTCCGTGGGGTAACAAGTTTAAAACACTTAGGATTTTTCTAGAAGAAACCTTCCCAGCAGAGAGGCGCGGGCGACTCCAGCTCCTGCTAATTTAACACGTTAGGAAAAGCAAAGGAAATAAATCTTTCCTCCAGCTCATAAGCAGCAGCCGAGCGGCGGGGGTGTGTGTGTGTGTATGTCTGAAGGGGGGTGCTTGTCTAAAAAAACCCACAACTTCTCCCGCAGCTGCCGAGCTGCCCGCACTGGGGAAAGCTCATGGCCCGGTGCGGACCGCGGGCGGCTCGACCCGCCTGCGCGCTGTCTGCGCGGTGTCTGCGCACTGCAGGCCGGCCAAGAAGCCAGCACCGGTTGGGGGGGGTAAGAGAGGTTTCGGGCGGCTGCGAGCGGTTCCGCGGCACTCCGCGCGGCGGCGGCGAGTCCGGTCCGCGGCTTAGCGGTCCGCGTTTTGCGGGCGGCCGCTGTATTTCCCGGGCCGTCCATGGCTCGGTGCTGTTGGCTCTCTCTCCGTCTGATCGGCGCAGGCTGCGCGGGGCTCCCTACGGGATCAGAGCGCTCCCCCGCCGGGACTCCACTCCTCACATCCTCCTGCTGGGACTCAGCTACATTTCCAGCCAAGCCTGGCTTTATTATGTGTGTCTGCACTGCAGCCCCAGCAGCAAGATCAGGAGGAGGAAAAGGAGCCAGGACAAAGAAAAGAGAGGGAGGCTGGCGAGAGCTAAAGAAAATAAAAACCCAGGGCAGCAGCGGCAGCAGCGGCAGCAATGAAGGCAGGAGCGGTGCCACCTTTCAGCGAATAATCCATGGAGGCAGCTAGCGGCCCCGGCATCGATGCAAAGCAGCACTTACCTTGCTCCGCGAAGTGCGTGCGTGCAGGGGAAGGCGGCAGCGAGCGCGGCCGGCCGCGGGGAGTACACCCGCCCGCCAGCCGAGCTCCAGCTCCGCACCCGCACCGCGCCCGGCCGGCCGCCCCCCGGCCCCCGCGGCCAGCCTAAACAGGGACTCGTCGCCCTCCCCGGGCAGCGGCGGGGCGACCAAGGGACAGAGACGGCCGGGGGCGAGCGGGCGGAGAGGGAGGGAGGGAACGAGGGAGGGAGAGGGGCGCCGAGCGCGGCCGGGGGAGGATTTAGGAAAATCGCAGCAACAAGGTCGCACCCCCGGAGCGCTGGGGCCGGGGCTCGTCGCGGGCTGAGACACTGAGTTCTCCCTGCGCGCCCTCCCCCACCCCAGCGGCAGGGACCAGTGCAGGGCTCCGCGGCGCTTTTTTCCGCTATATTTTTTAATTTTATTACTGTTATTCCAAAAGCGCGAGCCGGACTGAGAGCCGCAGGGCGCCTGCAAACTTTAAAGACAACAAAAAAGCGGGTGGGGGCGCGGGCCGGGCTCGCTGTGCGTCGGTAGAGTTTGCACACCCGAGGGGGGGAAGGAAGGGAAAAGCCCCAAAACAACAAAGGAAAAAAAAATTGCAACTGTTGCGCCTGTGATTTTATATATTTTTTTCTCTTCTTTTTTTTTTTTTTTTTTTCCTTTTTCCCCGTGGGGGGGAAAGGTGCCCGAGGGGATAGAAAGGAGTTGAACTTGCCGCATTGCAACAGGCAAAAGAAGTGAGAAAAAAAAAAATCAAATAATTGATCCCGCTGCTGCCGCTTCGCCTCGCAAAGTTTGGAGGTGGGGGGGTGGGAAGAGGGAAAGAGAAAAGGCAGGGAGAGGAAGGGAAGGCAGGGACAGGAGGAAGACGAGAAAGAGGAGGACGAGCCCCGGCGCCCGGACATGTCCAGGAGGAAGCAAGCCAAGCCCCGCTCGGTGAAAGGTAAGGCAGCCTCCGCCGGCCCCGGGCAGCCGCCGCCGCCTCCGCCGCCTCGACGCGGCCAATCAGGGCCGGGTCCCGGCTTGGCGGGGATTGCAAATCGCCCCCCGTTACGGGCCGGTGGTGGCGGGGCTCCCCCCCTGAACGCGGGATGCCCCGCGTGGGAAGCGCTGTCTCTACCGCCCGGTTCGGGGGGAGTGCCAGTGTGGGTACCGCGGTGCCGGCCGAGACTCGCTGGCGACACGTGTCGCGATAATTGCTGAAAGAAGCCGGTAGCATCGCTGAAGCTCGGAGGGAGGAAAGTTTGGCGATGATGCTCGGTGGGGCAGGCTCATCAGTGGGCTGGGGAAGGGGGAAACGGAGCCTACTCGTGTTTTAGCTGGTTAGCTTGGAATTAATATTTCTTTATGATTGGGGATAGGAGAGCCATCTGTTTCCTCCTGCTGTCCAGTGTGCATAAGGGTGGTGAAAGAAGGGGGGAATTAAAACCAGTTTGATAGATGGGGGTTGAAAACTTGCTTTGGCTTGAAGAAATGATAGACAAATTTAAGAAGAGCTGCATGAATAAAGATTAAACGTAAAACTTCACATGTTCTTCATCATCCACAGCGAAGGGGTGTTTAAATCCTCCTGTTTATCTCCATAAGAAAACAACTGCTGGTGAAACGTAAAAGGAGGGCCGGGACCAGCCCCACGCCGTACCGCATGCCTTGCCATCTTTTTAACTTTAAAGTGACTGGGTGCGAAACGGAAGGCGTGATTTCGGAAGCCTTTCGCTCCCAGCCATGAGGAGGTTAGCTGGTATTGGGTAAGGTTTTATTGTCCTCTGCACAAAGCAGAAGTCACAAACTCAGTGGTCCGGGGGCTTTGTTGTAGAAACACAAAAGGATCATCACTTTGGATGCCCAAAAGATGAAACAAAAAGTCTGAAGTGTTCATAATTAAATAACTCGGGGGTGGACAAAATTAGTGGGCGGTTAATGGACCAGCTAAAGGACAAATTGAAACCCCATACAGGGCCATTTTAGATTATTTGTGAAATATCCGCTGTTTGGCAGATGATTGCAATGTAAATCATCCGTGCTTCAAATGTTTATGAAGTTTTTGTGAAGTCAGTCCTTCATCTTTATACCAAACCCTTCATCTAATGGTACGGTTCAGCATTGTGCTGTGGGGCAGGTTTGCAGCGTGGCGGTGTGACCCTCCGCAATCCTGGACAATCGCTGCGGAAGGAGATACTTAAGTAACTGGTAGATGAATGTTACAGTCTGCGGGCAGAAGAAAGGGCAGAACTGGAGCTATTTCTAGGGAATGCTCTGAAATTCATTGTTTAAAGCGAAAAGAGCCGCAGTCTGAGAGCAGTGGAGCAGGCCTTGGGTCATAACTTCCATCGGGTGAGGGGATCATGTGTAGTGGCCAGACCTCTGGAGTTTAAAATATTTTTCTGTGCTGAAGTGTCACATTTAACATTCAGGAAATACTTCTATGCCCATGAAAACTGTGTTTGATCTAGAAGTGCAGTTAGTAATCATTGACAATCTTGTGCCATAATAACATTAGATATTTACCATTTATCAGTCAGTTGTTTCCTACCTCATTTCAGGCAGCAATATCTCTTGCAAGTAGTTGATACTTTATAATGATTTTTTTATCCTAATTCTGATACAGAACTGAGCACTATTTACAGGAGCATGTTTAAGAATTGGAGCAGGTAACTTACTGGCAAGTCATAGCTAAGAAGCATTATCCGGGTAATGTAGAAATATCTAGAAGGTCTTTGCACAGTGAGCTGGGGGAAGCCCAGTTGTTAAAAAATTCTGAATATTTTTGTAGTCTCTAGGCACAAAAAAATGTGTTTTCAGCTTCAGCATAAACTGGCTGTAGATTACAGGTCTTAACATGAGCTGACTAAACAAGGAGTCTGGAATGAGCTGAATCTGGATGAAATTTTGGATAATAGGACCCAACTCATATGTGTATGCAGGATAAACAATTTCTGCATTTTTTAATATTCATCCATATAATCTGCTTTTAAAAAGTCCATCATACACATTTTGTGGTCTAGGGAGCTGGCAACACAGTAGTTTGCCACAGTACACGTTTCCATGGAAATAATTGAGATGTAATAAATAAAGGCACTCTGAGGTCACAGGTTTCCCAATTCAACTGAGAAGAAAACAAGCAAAAATCATGTGGATATATGTGTAGCATTTAAGACTCAAAATAATTTACTATTTTTTCTCTTTTTGTGTATTTATTTCACTTTGTATAGCAGCTTTGCTATTTATTAACCACTACTGAGATTTGAGCATCCTTTTTCATTCACAGTCAGTGTGTGCCTGTGATGAAAGGCGTTATTCTGCATGCAAAAGGCAAGTTGCCTGCACATTAACTGGGAGCAATGCTGACTTTAAAGAAGTGACCGACTTTGGCAAAAGTACCAAACATTGACAACTCTTGTATGTCAGCAGGGCTGCAGGGCATGTGGCCCCTGTGCTGTATTATCAATCTCAGGTTCAGCCTGGCAGAAACTTGCAGGAATTCCTGCAGCTGTAACTCCAGCAGTAGCCGTGGACTTCCCCCTGATGTGGGATTTATGATTTGCAATACAATACTCTGATTTGTTTTGACCATTAGTTTGTTCAAACTTGAAAATATTAACCTTGTGGCGGGTGACTGGGGACAAAGTTCTACTTGGCTTGAAGGAAGGTTGTTTCAGATCAACGAAGATAGGGTGAAAGTAGGAGGGGTTGAGTCTTTGTTGGCTTACAAAATACATGCTTCAGTGACAGCGTGGTGCTAGCGGTGATGGAGTAAAACACTGGCCTGTTCTGAAGCTTTACTCCACATCACAACTGAAGCCTGTGAAAGTAATTTTCCTCGGTCCAGACCCTGCTCTTGCCCTGCTGCCAGTAATCTCACCTGCAGAGGGTTTTTCCAGTTGTCTGTAAGGAAGAGTTGTACCTTACTATATGCATTAAAACCATGTGGTCGTGAACCCCAGAACCATAACATGGTTGTGGACATCAAAACATATTGTCTCCGCACTACAAGTGATGGGGACTGATGTCAGTATCAACATCCTTAAAAGTTTGCTATGTGCTGCCAGCTTCGGGGAGCACACTATTGGCCGTGGGGGCTGAATAGGGCAGACGTTCTTCTCCCCTGTTGATTAAAGAGGGGCTTCTCATGCTATAACTTGGGGCCTTTGGAAGCTGTTCTGGAAAGTGAAGTGCTGAGGTGCTGGTAACAGTAACTGGTAGGTTTCCAGCTCCATGTAATTGTAATTGAGGAATTATTCCACTGCAGTTTGTGGGGACTGGACTGGTGTTGGCACAAGGTTTTAAGCATCAGGTACACTTTGGTTGCTGAATTTGACAGTTCTGCAAATTGCTGTCAGCTTGCAAGGGTATTTTGTGTGTAAACGTGCTAGCTGGTAATCAAACTGTTTTGCAAAAGAATGCACTAATTAAGCCTAGATTTGTTGTCCTACTTGAAGTTGCAGAATCGCTGTCATATTTTTCTGCTTTCAGTTGGCAAAAAATGCTGATAGAAACTTTTGATTCACACCCTACCTGCCTCATTTGTGTCAGTCAAGAAGAGAAAAGGGGGGTTGGTTGCTACTTTGTTATCTGCAAAGTAAATAAAAATACTTCAACCATTTGCTGAGTTCCAATTAGTTGATTGCTATGAATGATCTTCTTTAAAGGAATGCTGTTTTACCTATCTGCTCATACAAAGGTTTGATTTTGAATGTCTTGTGAAAAGCATTCTCTTTGTCTTGATTGATGTCAAGAATAAAAGCGTGATGGTAATATCCCTTTGAAAGCTATTGTATTGTCAGCTCTGGCTGACAGCAGGAGGCCCTCCTAGTGCTATAGATTAGCGCTGTGAAAACACTGACATTTTCTTTGTTATATTGCTGTTGTTCTGCTTGCAAAGTCAATTATACAATGTCGGAGCTCAGTTACAGAGTTGACTGTGGAAGTAACAATGTCTTTCATACTTGTCTTAAAGATATAATTTTCCTTTTTTTCCCAGTTGATAGAGAAGAACCTGCAGGTACCGGAGCAGTACATTCTACAAATTAAATTTTGACAAGTATAATCATAATTGCCAAATACAAGAGACTTGTGCGATTATCCTTTAATTTTACAGTTCATTCAAGTTGCAGTGGAATCTTATTGATACAGTGAAAGCAGAAGCTAAAATTGATAAAACTCATCAAATAAGATTACGGTCTTGATTGTTCTTTATCAAGTGTAGCTTTTGGGGGATTAGGAATAATTGGAGATGTTGGTGTTTCATTGTGGGGCTGGTGCCCTGAGAGCATTTGAATCCGTGCAGTATTCTGAGCACTGCCTTCAGGGATTAGCCTGCAGTGTTTAATTTTTGCCTGTGTATTTTGCTACAAGCCTAGCAACATTCTCCCCTGAACTCCATAAGTCCCATTTTCCTTCCTTTCCCTCCCTCCGGTATGCCTTCCTGGATGGGATCTGGGTGGTATTTAACTGGTTTTACTGATTGAAACTCCTGACTGTGTGCAAACACCTTTTAATTGTGGCCTGTTCCCATTGGTCTTGGCGAATACAATGAATAAATGTGGCCCAAAATTGAAAAGAGTGGGAAAGGTAACACAAAAGGCTTAAATATGAACAGGGAGAAAATAGAAATCTCATGTTTTTTGGTGATGCTATGTCTAAAGCCATCAATGAAAAACAACTGCCATGTAACAGTAGTGGCTCTTGGAGAAGGCCGCCTATTTTTATTCATCGAAAAT